CTCACCGGGAGCGGGCTGGGAAGCGCACACTGCCCGTCTGGCTGTAGGGCAGGGCTGGGCGGCCGGAGCGGTGTCCCCAAGGTGGGGACAGGGACGGGGAGAGCCCTGCTCGCCCCGGGCAGCGTCTGATCGCCCTGAATTTCCCCCTCTCCAGTCTTCCAAGAAGCCCAAGACGGCGGAAGCGGACACGTCGAGCGAGCTAGCCAAGAAGAGCAAGGAGGTGTTCAGGAAAGAAGTGAGTTTCCCCAGCGCCCCGGGGGGGGTTTGTCACCGTCCCACGCCGGTGACGTGACCCAAGGGGACGCTGGAAGGGGCTCTTGGGGGTCACCATCCCGCCTAGGCGACGGGAGTTGCCCTCCCGCCGCGGCCGTTGGGTCCCAGGGGGGGATTGTTGGATCCGTGGGGACATGTCACCCCGGGGCCGTGTCACCCTGGGGCCGTGTCACCTCGGGGCCACGTCACCGCGGGGCAGGACCGACTCCAGCTCTCGTCTCCCGCAGATGTCGCAGTTCATCGTGCAGTGCCTGAACCCCTACCGCAAACCCGACTGCAAGGTGGGACGGATCACCACCACCGAGGACTTCAAACACCTGGCCCGCAAGGTGACGGCACGGCGGGGACGTCCCCACGGGGACCGGGGCCGGGGCCGGTGGGATAAGGGAAGGGCAGGAGCGCTGTTGGGGGAATACGCGCCGAGATTGGGGGAATAGTTGGGGAATAAGGGCAAAAGAGCTTGGGGAATGAGAGGGAATATGTGGGGAAAAATAGGAAATGTTTGGGGAATAATAGCAAAAGGGCTTGGGGAATAGTTGGGAATAATAGGGAATAGTTGGGGAATATTTCGGCAATAATAGGATAGTAGTTTAGGGAGTATTTGGGAATATTAGTAAGAAATATTTGGGGAATAATAGCAAAATAGCTTGGAATAGTTGGGGAATAATAGGAAATAGTTGGGGAATATTTTGGCAATAATAGGATAGTAATTTAGGGAGTATTGGGGAATATTAGGGAATATTGGTAAGAAATGTTTGGGGAATAATAGCAAAATAGCTTGGAATAGTTGGGGAATAACAGGAAACATTTGGGGAATAGCTGGGAAATAATAGCAGATATTTGGGGAATAGGGAATCATAGCAAATGTTTGGGGAATATTTGGGCAATAATAGGAAAATAGCTTAGGGAATATTTGGGAATAGTAGGAAATATTTAAGGAATAAGAGCAAAATATCTTGGGGGAGTGGTTGGGGAATAATGGCAAATAATTGGGGAATATTTGGGAAATAATAGCAAGTATCTGGGGAATATTTGGGGAAGAGTAGCCAATATTTGGGGAATGTTTGAGGAATAAGAGGAAATATTTGGGGAATAATGGCAAAATAGCTCGGGGAATAGTTGGGGAAGAATAGGAAATATTTGGGGAATAATAGCCAATATTTGGGGAGTATTTGGGCAATAATAGGAGAATAGTTTAGGGATTATTTGGGAATAATAAGAAATATTTGGCGAATGATAGCAAAATAGCTTGGGGAGTAGTTGGGGAATAATAGGAAATAGTTGGGGAATAACAGCAAAATAGCCTGGGGAATAGTTGAGGAATAATAGGAAGTGGCTGGGGAATATTTGGGAATAATAAGAAATATTTGGGGAATAGCTGGGGAGTAATGGGAAATATTAGGGGAATAATAGCAAATATTTGGGGAAAAATAGCAAGTATTAGGGGAATATTTGGGGAATAATAGCAAACGTTTGGGAAATATTTCGGAAATAATAGCAAATATTTAGGGAATAATAGCAAAAGCTTGGGGAATAACAGGAAATATTCGGGGAAAAATAGGAGATGTTTAGGGAATAGTTGGGGAATAATAGGAAATATTTGGGGAATAATAGCAGATATTAGGGGAATATTTGGGGAATGATAGCAAATACCTGGGGAACAGTTGGGAAACCATAGCCAATATTTGGGGAATGTTTGGGGAATATTTGGGGGATAATAGTGAGTGTGTGGGGAATGTTTGGGGAATAATAGCCAATATTTGGGGAATAATAGCAAAATAGCTTGGGGAGTAGTCGGAGAGTAATAGGAAATATTAGGGGAATAGTTGCAAATATTGGGGGAATAATAGCAAGTATTAGGGGAATATTTGGGGAATAACAGCAAATATTTGGGGAATAAGAGCAAACCAGCTTGGGGAATCCCCAAGACTGGGATTACTGGGAATCCCCAAGACTGGGTTTACTGGGAATATTGGGAATTAACGGTGGGTATTCCCGGCCCTTCCTCTCCCCGCCCCGCAGCTGACTCACGGCGTCATGAACAAGGAGCTGAAATACTGCAAGAACCCGGAGGATCTGGAGTGCAACGAGAACGTGAAACACAAGACGAAGGAATACATCAAGAAATACATGCAGAAATTCGGGGCCATCTACAAACCCAAAGAGGACA